ATATATATATATATTATTTGATTTTTCTACATGATTTTTTCTTGTCTGCAGATTAAACAGCAGTGGCATTACTATATCCAACAGATAAGTTCATGCTCTTTGTCCATCAGCATTTATTCCCGACCTTTATTATTATTATTATTATTATTATTATTATTATTATTATTATTATTATTATTATTACTATTACATCGAACTATGTTATAAAAACGACAAAAAATTTATGACCGTTTAATTACTACTATTTAATTACTACTAGTTCCCCGTTGTACTGCCATTAGTCGAACTGGTAACTTTTGAAATGCACTTAATTGAGGGGGGAAACAAGATAAATAAAAAAAAAAAAAAAGAGATAAAGAGAGAGAGAGAGAAAGAGAAAGAGAGAGAGAAAGAGAATGAAAGAAAAGATAAAGAATCGTCGAGAGTATAACGCGTTAATAAGGCCAATGCATATCTACGCGTAGTAGAAACGTGTGTATGTAGATATATGTATGTACGTACGATTCAACAGGTATCGATTTCTCGGTTTAAATGGCAAAGAGTCGTAATCGCGAAATTGACTTTTGCGGCGTGTGCCACAGAGAAAACTGGTGCCACTTTAAAGTCGTGATCTTTTATCCGTTCATCGTGTGAGGAACCTCATAATATCCTCGTAATCCTTTCGCCTCCGCTTAATGACTTATGTATCGGTAGAAACGAGACAGTTTCATAACTTATTCATAAGAGTAGAGAAGATAGAAAGAAAAGGAATGAAAGAAAGAAAGAAGGAAAGAAAGAGAAAGAGAGAGAGAGAGAGAGAGAGAGAGAAAGAAAGAAAGGAAAATAGCTGTTCGTGAAGCGGAAGTGTGGATAACCGTTCGTTGCTTTTCAATCGGCTTTACATACATCTACACACATGAAAAATGAGAAAGAAAGAGAGAGAGAGAGAGAGAGAGAGAGAGAGAGAAAACTAAAGAGACAGAGAGAAGCAAAGCACGTAGTACAGATCTCGACCATGGATCAAAGACACCGATGGTCTTGTATATGCTACTACTATCGTCTTCGCCGTTAGTTGTACTCGACGTTACAAGCTCGTTTAAAAGCGACGCTCGATCGAGCGTCGATTTGTTACGATCGATTTTCATTCAATTATCGTTACGTGAAAATTCTAAAAAAATTCGTAAAACAAACTCAATAACGATCACACCGATTTTCCTATTACAAGGTTTTATCCGATCTTTCTCGACGAGGGGGGAAAAAAAAAGAAAAAAAAAAGAAAAAGAAAACGAAGAAGTAACAAGCAAAAATGGATGAAAAAAAGGAGAAAAAAAACAAAAAAAAAAAAAGAAGTAAAAAGAAAAACTATTCTAATGAGTGATAATTCGATTTCTTAATAAATTGTAATAACTTATAGGTACACAAGGTAATCAAGCATCGATTTATACGCGTGTTGATATAAAAATAAAATGAAATCAATCGCGTGTCGAGAAATCGTAGATAAGTATTATGTGGTAAAGGTTTCGAAGCGGAAAGAATGACGACGACCACGACGACGACGACGACGACGGCGGCGGCGACTCTTGGCGCGTCACGATAGCGCCGAAAACGAGGACACCGTCGTGGCGTGTAAAATGCAAGGGGTTCGATCGAAGATATGAATCGCAAGGTAGGAGAACGCGAGAGGCGTAACGACTCGGCGATTGAATATTAAGTGCCCGGAGACTCCGCTTGGAGAACTTTGCCCGGGGGACTTCCGGAGAACAGCGAAACGAGAAGCACGAGAGAGGTAGAGACATAAAAAGGAGGAGGAGAGAGAGAGAGAGAGTGTGTGAGAGAGAGAGAGTGTGTGAGAGAGAGAGAGAGTGAGAGAGAGAAGGAGAAAGAGAGCAAGCGAGAAGGTTGAGATGAAGGTGGAAGAAGAAGGTAGTTTGGGATAGAACGTAAAGATAGGTGGGGGTGGGGGTTGGTAAGGAGGTGACTGCCGGCGGCGATTTCAATAATTAATGTCACGGGAATTGCTCAGTGAACAAGGACGGTAGAGATGGAGGATGAGGAAGAGCAGAAGGAGGAAAAGGAGTAAAGGGAGGGAGGGAGAGAGAGAGAGAGAGAGAGAGAGAGAGTGGGTGGGTGGCTGAGAGAAGACGGTACTTTATCCATCGTACCGCAAACTCGAGATTTCCCTGTCGTGATATCCATGGAGAGGATCGAGACGCGTGGATAATTATTACAATTACTTGCCTGATTGCGTTTATGATATATTTGTCGATTTCATTCGAGAGGTCCTTTTTTATTTGTCCATAAGAACGATTAAAAAGGATTCAAATTACCACAATTGTGATTTCATTCTAAATACATGATTAAAGGTAATGCGTTAAGTTACTACTTAAAAAGGATATGATATCTCGTGCGATTGGAGGAAGATTGAACGAAAAGAAAGAGAGAAAAAGAAACAAAAAAACAAAAAAACAAAAAAAAAACAAAAAAAAACAAAAAGAAAGAAAGAAAAGAAGAGATGTTTAGGTATAGAAAATTTGTTCCTTTCTGTGATCGAAAAGAAAATATGTCGTAACCGATAAGAAGAATTCCGTGATCGGTGATACGACTGGCCGAATAAAAATTGTCTTCTTCCTCTTTCGAGAGACTTCTAGTAAAGAAATAAAAAAAGGAAAAAAGAGAGAGAGAGAGAGAGATAGAGAGGGAAAGGTCGAGAAGCGAGTGGAAGGGAAAAGGGCGCTTTTACCATCGGTACCGTCTTGGTATTGCAAGTGGCAATAGACGGTTGAACCGGGATGCTGGCACAGGCTGGTTGGTTTCCATGGAAACCACCTCCTCGTCTCATCGCCCTCGCTCATCCTCCCTCCTCCTCCTCCTTCTCCTCCTCGTCCTATCCTCCTTCTCTTTCTCCACTTCGGTGTAGTAGTATCGCAGGAGGAAGAGAACGCCGCAGGAAGCGTATGAGACGAAGCGAGATGGAGAGCAGCCACCGTGGCGAAACCAGTTCACCGAGAAGGAAGCAGAGAAAGAGGAATAGAGGGACGCAGTCGACGACTACGACGACGATAGTGCAGGACGAGGATGAGGATGAGGATGAGGATGAGAATGAGGAGAAAGAGGAGGACAAGGAGGAGCAGGAGGAGAAGAAGAAGGAGGAAAAGAAGAAGGAGGAGGAGGAGGAGGAGGACGACGACGACGACGACCAAGGTGGAAGGTTATTTGTTACGTCGGCTCTCACACGCTCACATCCACGTGCTATCATGCCTTTTCGCACGGACCTACCTATATATATATATGTATATATCTATCTATATACATACAAGGATAAGGCTATACTATACATATGTTCTTACCTTTCTTTCTTTCTTTCTTTTTTTCTTTCTCCCTCTCTCTCTCTCTTTCTCTCTTTTCCATTTCTCTTTCTATCTCTTTCAGAAAAATCCTAGCACGAAGTTCGTGAAAGAGAAAACGAGATAGCTCCAAGGGTGAAAGTCGATCTTTCTCATTGGGGCTAACCGCCACGGGAGGACGACATTGATCGACGTCCATTTACAAATTTCGTGACAATTCGAACCAGCTAGAGGAAAAGGTTGAGAGGAAGGGGGCGAGGGAGGGTACCGGGAGAATGGGGTACCGGGAATGGGGAATGAGGATAGAGCGCGAAATTCAATTTCAAGTTTGAGACATATACGTACATATACATATATATACATACATACATATATATACACACAGTTAGCTTTAACATATAAAGAAGAAGACACAAGCATACAATGATCTCTCGTCCAAGTGGGAAAACAAATCCGGTTATGCGAGTCGAAAAGTTCGTGGAGTAAACTCGAGTAGAGTAACGTGACGATGTTACATGGCGAACGCGACGTGTCAACTTTTAATTACTCCTTCGATTTCGATGACGATCGTATACCGATTTCTCTCCCTTTTTCTATTTTTATCTCGTCTTTCATCATTGCAAATCATTGCATCATTGCATTCATTGCAAATGATTTTTTTTCTATTTTCTCTCTTTCTCTCTCGCTATTCTTTTTTTTTTTGTTATCAAAAATTGATCTCGTTTTCATCGACGAAGAAAATTACGATATTCAAAAGCATTTTTATAAAAAATCGAGTGAACTTTATCGAATCTATAATACATAGCCGATCGAGTTCTCCTCGTTGAATCGAGACACTAATTAACATTAATGAAAGCGAAATTAATTCATTTTCACGATTAATCCTACGAAGGCTTTCACATATAGAAATGATAGAGAAAGAGAGAAAAAGAGAGAGAGAGAGAGAGAGAGAAAAGTAACTAAATTTATAACTCGTAATACGTTGAGCGATAGATTTTCAATACGGACTACTGTTTTTTGTTCTTTAGATTTTATATAATAATTTTCGATGACCATCGAACAAGCGAGCGAACGAGATATATATATATATATATATATATATATATATATATATGTATATAATATCGATTTGATGTAAATAACATGCAAGAAAGAACGCGAAGTACGATTTTAAAATGGACGAGAGTGTACCTAATCGTGCGAAGCAAAAAAATATCTCATCCAGTCTCAGATTTTTATTCAATAATTGATGTAATTTTTTTCTTTTTCATTTTGATTTTGCCGTTTTATATTTAATTTTATTTTCGCGCTACCAATACTCTCTAAAAATTTCGTCATATTTTATGCAAATATCGTCGAAAATGTGATAAAGTAATTTTTTTCTTTTTCTTTTTTCTTTTTTTCTCATATACGTTCGTGTATAAACACACACTTCGAGTAAAATATTAAGGCGTAATTCGCATTGCGGGTGGACGAAGTCGTAAGAGAATAAAAATGTAAAGAAAAAAAAAAAAAAAACAAAAAAAAAAAAAAAGAAAAAGAGATAGAGGAAAACAAGATACTGTGAAAGCGTGCATTTATACGTTCTCTCATCAAAAGGCAAAACAAAAAGAAAATAAATAATGATAAAGACGACGATAATAATAATAATAATAATGCAGTATTAATAACACTCACCAAGGGTTTTCGTGGCATCTGACGGAAGAACTTCGGTCAGCTGAAAGGAAGAGAAAAAAAAACACTCTGGTTAGATACAAATTTGCATTGTTCACCATTTTACATTTTTATAACGTGTCCGCGTTAAATATCAAAAATACGATGCAAAATAGTTAAACGAGGTGAAGATAAATTTATATGTACGATCGAAATCTACATATATATATATATATTTAAAGAAAAAGGTCAAAAGAATTTGTTCAAAGAAAAAGAAAAAGAAAAAGAAAAAAAAGATAAAAGGTACGGAAAAGTTAAAAAAAAAAAAAAAAAAAAAAAGAAAAAAGAAAACGAAAAAACTACGTAGAAATAATGGAAGGAGGGACGAGACTCTATTCGTCAACGATAACGATGATCACGCTCGATCCTATTCCAATAACGATCCAGTGATCGAAGGAAAGCAGAGGAGAAGCATTAACCCAAATTTCCACTTTTACGAGGCTGATTTTACGGATTGTTTTTATTCTCCACTTTTACATTCGACGTCTTCTCTCTCTCTCTCTCTCTCTCTTTCTCTCTCTCTCTCTCTCTCTCTCTCTCTCTCTCTTTCGCGCGAAGAGAGTAGCAAACCTTTGTCACGGTGCCAAGTGGCACGAAAGTCGGATCCCTCTAACGTGATTCTAAACGTTTTCCACCGATCGATATTATTCCGAGCGTTGTTCGTCGAATTATCGGTGACGAGAGCGGCGCGAAAAATGAAATAAGAATAAAAATGAGAGAGATAGATAAAGAAAGAGAAAGAAAGAAAGGAAAGGGGAGGAGAAGAGAGCAAGAGAGAAAATAAAAATGCGACTAGGCAGGAATATCGAAAATACCGTCTATCGAAAGAAATATTATATAAACGTAAGAACATTTTCTATCGCGCGACGACATCTTCCATTTCCACAAAAGCAAAGTATTGAAACGATGCCAAGTGGCACGAAATGCACGGCTCGCTCTCTCGAAATGTTTCTTCTTCTTCTTCTTCTTCTACTACTTCTACTATTACTACTTCTACTTCTTCTTCTACTTCTTCTTTCACTTCTATGTCTACTTCTATACGTACGTGCATACATAAATACATACGTACATATACACATATAGACCTGATATATATATATATATATATATATATATATATATATATCGCATAGTCTCGAATGAGATTTCGCCGTTCCGCTCGAGGGGAAAGAAAAAAGCGCGCGTTACGCGAAATCTCACACCTTTATTTTATTTTATTTTATTTTATTTTATTTTATTTTATTTTATTTTATTTTATTTTATTTTATTTTCTTTCAGTTAAGTTCATTTCTTCTTTATTTCTCAATTTTTTTCTTTTTTTTCTTTTTCTTTTTTTTTTCTTTTTTTTTTTTTTATCAAATCTTTTCTTCTTTCCCTTTATCTTTCCTCATTTAACTCGGGATAATCTAACATTATGCATATTCTTCAAATATTTTGACAATCAAAAATAAGGATTTGCTCACCTTTGCTAAAACCGGATTAAACGTGAACTTCGACTCCAGCTCTTTCCTTGGTGTTTGTGCAATAGCTGTTAATGGAGTCGGTGGGATTGTCATTTCCTGTAAAAGAAAGAAGGGAAAAAAAAACAAAAGATTAATTTTCTATATTGATAAAATAAACATATATATATATATATATATCTTTTTTATTTTCTTTCAATCTTAAGACGATGCTCTCGTTTGCAAAATTTGTAAGTGCATAAGAGAGACAGAGAGAGAAAGAGAGAGAGAGAGAGAAAGAAAGAGAGAGAGAGAGAGAACGTGATAGATATCCTCTTCGCGTGCAAAAATACTCACACTTGTGTGAATAGAAAAAAAAAAAAAAGAGGAAAGAGAGCGGAGAGAGAGAGAGAGAGAGAGAGAGAGAGAGAGAGAGAGAAAGAGAGAAAAAGAAAAGAAGGAATTTACCTATGTATGTACGTGTTTATAGAGCGAGATAGGAGAGAAGTCGCGAAACTTCGAACAATGCAGCTCAACGTGCATCGGCACGGCGACGCAACGAACGAAACGCATTTCCACAAATGAATCGTCGAGACCGATTCATTGACCCGACGAGACATCCGTCGACAACGGAACAAAGAACGTTGAGACAAAAGCTCTCTCTCTCGCTCTCTCTCTCTCTCTCTCTCTCTCTCTCTCTCTCTTTCTCTCTCTGACAACTGTCTCTGTCTCTCTTTCACTCTTGCATTGAAGTGCTTATTCTTACCGTACGGTAAAGCCCACGAGTACTTATTTAGAGGGTACTCTCTTTATCACTCACACACACACTCTCTCTCTCTCTCTCATTCGGTCGGTCGGTCTTTCTCAAATTTTCTCTATTAATTTTCCGTTTCGAAAATTTTAAATGTCAACGTTATGAAATTTCTATCCATTTACAAAAAAAAAAAAAAAAGAAAACAGATATCTTTTATTAAAAATTCAAACAACAATACGTGAAATAAGCTCAATTATTTATTGCCCTTTAAATTCCATTTGAACTCGCGAAAACTCAATCGATCGGTCGTTTGATCGAATCGAAAAAATCATGGCTATTTTTTTTAGATCGTCGAAATTAAAATTCCCCTTTTTCCCGTAAACTTGGATTCTCTACGACCATTGCGAAAGAACGATAGGGAGTTTCGACTTGGTTCTATACGCTTCGTTGAAGATCATCCATCGTATATGATAATAGCTAGAGCTCGAGTAACATCTTATTTCTTATGGAAATCCAACGAATACGAAGTAAAACGCTTAACGACTATGTGTGTGTGTATATATATATATACATATATATATACATATATATATGTATGTATGTATGTATGTATGTGTTTACTATGTATATGTATAAACGTATGTAAGAATAAAGAGAAGCATTCATACATATACGCATACACACATAAAATATATATATATATATATATATATATACCACAAACGTGTCATTAAATCTCTATACGTGTACCTATCTATATTCTACATGTAAATATGTAGGTATACGTATTCGTAACACGTGTAGGTATATGTATAAATTGTATGTAAGCAACGATAGGCGTTTCAACGTTAATACGATGCAACGAACGGATAGCGGAGCGTGCGCTTTATCGGCGGGAAACGTCGTAATAAGCGCATATTAGCATGCCCCAGGATCTCTTGGAAAAGCGTGGACATGGAAGTGTAAGATCCGCGAGTACAACGTAAAATGCGGGTTTCGATTTCACGGAACGGACGAGAAGGTACCGCCTACGATTCACGGTAAATGACGAGAGAGCCATGTATGTACCTACATACATACATATATATATATATATATATATATATAACTTTATATGTGTACGTATGTGTGCCCGAAGTACGTACATAAATATACATATGTACATTCATGCGATCTCTCGAGCAGAAACTATAACGAATAACGTTGGAACGGTGATGCGAATGGACGTTCCGATATTTTCACAGATCCGAAAGGTTTGTACGAAATTTTCTCCTTTTTCGAAGAAAATTTCGCTTTTTCCCATGATATATTCGTGCAAGTAGAAAATGAAAAATAATCATGATACATCGGTTATTATTTCATTTTTCAAATCCAATGATAATACTCAAAATGATTTACCTATTATTCACGTTTAACTAAGTATGTCATAATGATTAAATTGTACATTGATATAAAAAGAAAAAGAAAGAAAAAAAAAAAAGGAAAAAAAGTTCATCGACGTGTTTTAATTCCCGTAAGAAGAAGAAACAAAAAACAATCAATAGATATCGGAAGACATTATTGTAATAATAGATATAACGTAATCAAAAATTACGAGGAAAAAAGAATTAGATGTTTGTATGAACGTAATCCATATGAGAATTTTCATAGGGGAAAAAAAAAGAGAAAAAAAAAGAAAAAAAAAAATAAAATAAAATAACGAAAAATACGATCCGCGGTATCTTTTATCGAAAGATACGGCACACTCTTAGAAACGAATCTATGAATTTTTCAAAGCTTCAACGAATGTATATCCTCGGTCGATCTAGTTTCCGCGTGAAACGTTCGGAGAGAAACGTTGTGAGTATTACACAGAAGGAGAGAGGGGGAGAGAGGGAGAGAGAGAGAGAGAGAGAGAGAGAATAAGCGAGCAAGCGATCAGAGTTGATGGTAACTCGGAGAAAGGTTGCACTTGTTCGTTGCACTTGCACGTTGCACTTGCTCTCTTTCTCCCCACTTTTTCCCCACCTCTCTCTCTCTCTCTCTCTCTTTCTCTCTCTCTCTCTCTATTTCTCTTTCTCTATCTTCCTTTCAATGTTCCGCTGCGCACGAAGAACGTCGGTACGTGTATTGTCCGCCTAATGGGCCCCGACAGAAAGAGAAACATTTCCGGCGACGAGCTCCCCGTAAAGTCGACAGATACTTCCGCCTCTTCTTCTCTCCTTCTTCTCTTTCCTTATCCTTTTTCACCGGAATGAATTTTCCTTCCCGAAGAAAATTCCCGTGGAATTTGAAGCGAGAAAACCCGAGAACGACGCCGACACTTTGTCCTTCACTTTTTTAACGTTTCTCAGAACTATTCTTTTCTCTTTCTTCTTCAACCAACAACGAAAAAGGTCCATTGCTAACTTTTTTTTTCTTTTTATCCTTTTTTCCCTTCCTCCCTAACTCCCTCTCTCCCTCCCTCTCAACCCCCCCCTCTCTCTCTCTCTCTCTTTCTGTATTTGATGCAAGAGTAAAAAAAGAAAAATGATTTTTACATTAGAACATGACATTCGACCACCTCTCGAGTATTCTTATCGGAGTAAAACTTTTGATTTCGACGAGTGAGTCAAAATATGATGAGAAAAATGGAAAAAGAGAAAGAGAGAGAGAAAGAGAGAGAGAGAGAGAGTAAAAGAGTGAAAGAGGAAGCAGGCAGAGTCGTCACGAAAGAATGCGATATTCAGGAGCTGTGCGAGTGGCCGTCGGCGAGCGCAATTAGCAGTCGCATTTACGATGCCTACTGGCGCAACTCTCGTATTTTCCCACGGGCAGAGCCGTGAGAATAATTCATGGGCTTCGTCGCTGCTGCTGCTGCTGCTGCTGCTGTTGCTACTGCTGCTGCTATTGCTGCTACTACTGTTGTTAATACTACTACTATTACTACTACTACTACTGCTGCTGCTGCTGCTACTGCTACTGCTGTTTCTGCTGCTGCTGCCGCTGCTGGCTGATGCTCCTTCTACTACCTCTATTTCGAACGGCAGAGAGAGAGAGAGAGAGAGAGAGAGAGAGAGAGAGAGAGAGAGAGAGAGAGAGAGAATGAAAGATAGGAGTTACGAACGCAGAACTATACCGACTACCCGGTAGCTTCTAGCATTGCCATAAATTCGCACTGAAAGTGGAAAAGCCTCGACCGGTCAGACGCACGTAGACTTCTCGAGAACCTTGCTAAGGATCCTTCTCCTTCTTTCTCTCCTCTCTCTCTCTCTCTCTCTCTCTCTCTCTCTTTCTCTTCCTATCTATCTATCTATGTATATTTCTCTCTCTTTCTTTATCTTGCACTTTCGCAATCTTTCGTGACGATGAACTTCGGTTAGTCTTCCACGAAGAAGGTGAGAGAGAGAGAGAGAGAGAGAGAGAGAGAGAGAGAGAGAGAAGCTTGTAAAAAAGGACTTTACTATGTTATCGCAAGAAAGAAAATGATCGAAAATAAGCATTGCTTTAGGTATCGTACGTATTTCCTTTAAGGGGAACGTGTTTTACGACGTAAGACACAGTTGTAACCGATGATTGGTAACTTTCTTCGAGATGTTGCTTTGATTGAGAAGGGTGGGAGAGAGGTAGGGAGGGCGAGAGGGAAGGGGAACTCAGCGTTTCATTTTCAACACCCAAGTTACAACGTACTTATATTCACGTCAATATCGGACACATCGAAACGCGGTGTTTGAAATGCAAAAATAGTTAGTGTAGAAATTATGTGGATATGGATTTAAAAAAAAAAAAAAAAAAAAAAAAAAAAAAAAAAAAAAAAAAAAAAAAAAAAAAAAAAAAAAAAAAAAAAAAAAAAGAAAGAAGATCAAAGATCTTGTAAATCATTACTCAAAATGAAAGGATCGATTTTCGATCGTAGATCGTGGAAGATTTAATTTCTTAAATTTTTTTTTTTTTTTTTTTTTTTTTTTTTTTTTTTCAAGTTTTACACGTGAATAAAATATAATATTTATCGGTTAATTAGCGTGATCCGAGACAAATCTAGGAAATATTAATTTCAAGAGACGTGATATTAGAACGTACGTTGACTTTTGGTATCCAAGCGACAATGTCTTCCGGAGACTCTTATGAGAATAACAAAGTCTAACGCGAACGAACGACCTTCGTCGCGAACATAAACACCGTCATTACGAGGCGTGACATAAGAAGGCATAAGATGATTAAGCGTTTACGAAGGAAATGTTGTGATCGTTAAAAACTCTACGGTCCGTCGCGGCTTAACGTGTTCGAAATCTGTAATTCTTCTCTTTTCTCTCTCTCTCTCTCTCTCTCTCTCTGATTTTTTATTCTTTTTTTTTTCGCTCGTCGTACAAAGTAGACGCAAATGAACGTAATTTGGATATCTTACGATCCGATCTACAATGAAAATCGAAGAATATAGATTGATTAGAAAATCAACCAGTCGCGCCTTAAAACGCGAAGAAGAAGATACTCAATATCGATTCGATCAAACGATCGATCGGATCGATCGAATCGATCCGATCGATCGTTTCATCGAACGAACGAATGAACGAACGATATCGATGTTAGATTAAAGACTCCTCGTTATATACTCGATCGTCGAACCGTAACGTCGACACGACGACGATTCGCGGCATCGAGGATAGAGATTATTCTATAGCAGGGGCATGTTCAACAGGACGCATCGGCGATCAAAGGGCTCCACGGTACGGTCGGTGGTCCTATGGGACTTTTTTTCTTTCTTTTTTTTTTCTTCGTCTCTTTTCTTTTTTCTTTCTTCTTTTTGTTTTTTTTTTTTTTTCTTTTTTTTTATTGTTCTATGACGATATAACGTGCGTATGTGTCGCTTTGGAACGTGGAGCGAAAAGGAATAATAATAATAAAAAAAAAATGAAAAAAAAGAAAAAATGAAAAAAACATGGAAAAAAAAAGAAAGAAAAGAAAATATAAAAAAAATATTGAAAAAGAAAAATAGAAAAAAAAAAAAAAAGAGTTCGATCAATGAATCACTATGATGGACAACGAAACGATACTCATGTAGACATATTTACTCACACACATACACACACACACACACACAGAGAGAGAGAGAGAGAGAGAGAGAGAGAGAGAGAGAGAGAGAGAGAGAGAGAGAGAGAGAGAGGGAGAGAGAGAGAGATAAATATTCACGTTATACGTTTATAATCTGTTATCGTTCGCCAGAAGCAAAGGCGTCGAAATTATGAAAGTTTCCACTGACAAAACTACTTTCATCGGTCTCTTCTAAAAATTACTTTCGAGATATCGATTACGTGATCCAACTTGCTTAGACACATATACATACATACGTACATATATACATATACGAATACGTATATAACCAAATGATCTTTCTACGCTGATTATATGGTTTTAGACGACGTACGTTTTCTCGAAGAACGTGTTATTTCACGAAAACGGCGAAACTTTGAGCAAGTTTCTATGTAAGTATTCGAGAATGTCGTAAAAAGACCATTACGAGTTCTCTACAGTTCGAGTTTTTATTCCTACCGAAACACTCTTCTTTTCTGCATATCGTTGAATAAAGACAACTATCTACGACAATGTTTCGGTTTCTAATATACCTCTCTCCCTTTATTTTTCTCTCTTTCTGTTCGAAATGCCATAGGGTTGACTCTACCCCATAGGGAGGAGAGGAGAGGGAGAAGCGGGTGCATTATATCGATCGTGTCCAACTATCCAGACTGCGTGATGTAAACGCAGACTGAAAATATACATGTATTCCTTTCCGTTTCGATAATAATCATACTTTTATCGCGAATACTTCTCGAAACGTTAGCGGTGATTCTCAGTATTTCAAAAAAAAAAAAAAAAAAAAGAAGAAAAAAGGAAAAAAAAAAACAGAAGAGAAAAGAAAGAAAAAAGAATCAACGTTTAAAAATTAACATTCTGAACGTTTAACAATTCAATTGAAAATTACGCCTACCTGTGATGTGCAACGAATTCGTTATAAAATTTTTTTCCATTTGTAATTTTAATATTGCGTTACACTCTTTGAATCTATAATTTAATTCATTTGGATAATACTTTAAATGCATCGTTGAAATCGAAGTGAACTTGTTAAAACGATTTAATCTATTCCGTAACATTGAAACAATCTTTTTCTAGAGAATAGTTTTAAAGAATAATGCGTGTATGTTTGTACTTCGTTAAAAAGATAAAAGAAAAAGAAAAAGAAAAAAGAGAGAGAGAGAGAGAGAGAGAGAGAGAGGAGAAAAAAAAGAGGATAAAAAAGAAAGAGAAAAAGAAAATTCTGTACTTATGTAGATACAAATTTATCCTTCCAATTTTCATTAAGAATCATCAGAAACAACCGGATGCTTTAAGTAAAATTTTATCTCGCAGGATATATAGGATACATATAACATGGTTAATGATCTTGAACGAACGAGTTTTCAAGAGATCAATTTCGATGAATGTACGATATAGACGCGCGCACACATACGTTTATATCTCGCAGGTTCCTCTTATCGTGATATATGAAATAATAAAAATTAATATCGCCGTGAGGTACAACTAAACAGACTTATCGATATTCATTCATCTCGTTATGATTTTTACCATCACGGAATCCTTCGCCTCTAGGCCAAACTTTCGATCGGTTTCATGGCCGCGTCAGGAAGGATTTACGAGCTTTAAATAACTCGAAACGGTTCTATACTTCAAGGATGTGTGTTCCCCTTCCCCCCTCCCACCCTATAAATAGACGTAGCCGCGTGACGTTTCAAGATCGTTCCAAGATCACGGTACGTCATCGTAACACGTATTTATCCTTATATATACATATTTTCTTTTTTTTTTTTTCTTTTCTTTTCTTTTCTTTTTTCGTTTTCATTATGATCTCGCAAATCCTTAAGTTCTAATCAAAAGGAAAGGAAAAAAGAAAAAAAAGAAAAAAAAAAAAAAGAAGAAGAAGAAAAAAAGAAAAATCGTAATAAGAAAAGAAACACAGTAGATTCTCTTACCTTCAGAATATTTTCCACGTCCGCTGAATTTTCACTTGGGTTATGTTTCTGTAAGTAGAAAAAGGAAAAAAAAAGTTAAGATTCCATTATTAAAGTTCTCATCGTGAATAAGGAAAAATCTTTTACGACGGAATAAGAAAAAAAATAGATAGGTAGATAGATAAATAGATAGATAGATAGATAGACAGATAGATAGATAGAGAGAGAGAGAGAGAGAGAGAGAGAAAGGGAAAAGAGAGTGTGAAAATAGATGTGGAAAGAGAATTTTTACGTACACAAGCGAGTCAATATTCGCGATGACAATGAAATCAAGAACGAAACGTCCGAGTTGGTTGAACGCCACACGACATACCGAATAAAATGACTTCTCCTTCTCTTTCTTTCGCAAAAATCTCGCATTATTCTTCGACGATTTATCACGACTACCTAACGGGTGCATTAATCAACGGTCTCGGGAAGATAATAGCATGGAGAAAGAAAAGTAGAGAGAAGAGAGAAAGAAAGAAAGAGATAGGAAATGGATAAAAGTAGAGAAACAGAGAGAGAGAGAGAGAGAGAGAGAGAGAGAGAGAGAGAGAGAGAGAGAGAGAGAGAGAGAGAGAGAGATATTACGAGTAACGTCGAGTAGTCATCCGTACAGAAAGAAGGCTTACAAACAATAGGAAATGCGTGGGCGAAACAGAGCGAAGGTGAGGAGGGAGCTGGGAAAGGTAAGGGTGCCTACTTTTAACTTTTAGCCGTAGGACACGATGACGGCGACGCGGAAAAGAAGAAGAGAAAAAGAAAGAAAGAGAGAAAGAAAGAAAGAAAAAAAAAAAGAAAAAAAAAGGAAAAGAAAGAAAAAAAAAAAAGAGAAAAAAAGTAGGTGGTAAAAAAGTCGAATAAAAGAGAAATGGAGAAAGTTCGAGCAAGAAGAAACAATGGCGAAGTCAGTTTAACGCCTTTCTAGATCTTAGATATAGATAATAATATTCAAAATCGATACGAACTTATCAAAACTTTCTGTCTATCTCTCTCTCTCTTTCCCTTCCTCTCTCTCATTCTCTCTCTCTCTCTCTCTTTCTCTCTCTCTCAGTCTCTCTTTCTTTCTCGGTATTTCGATAAACTCATTTGATAAAATGAACGAAATGAAGTTTGTCGAAAAATCGATCCACGACGAGGTTTACGAAACAACATTTCGATTTCGCGGTTACGATAAAGCGCGACTTAGATAGATACATACATACATACATACATACATACACAGATAAATAAATGTATATATATATATATATATATATATATATATATATATATATATATACATAGATAAACTTTTGGCAGTAACGAGAAAATGAGATGAGTGCAACGTAACGAGATATATCGCTTTCATTATCAGTTTAACGATACTCATAGGGCGATGGGAAAAGAGAACACAACCCACCTCCCTGTCCCCCCGTCGTCGTCATCCTCCACCACCTTTCCACTCTATCTTCTTACTCTACCGGAAATTTTGCTCCCTACTCTTATCGTTCCCCTTTTTTGGGCGTAATTCCAAACTAATTTAGCGGATGAAAACGAATGGTAAACGAATCGTGATACTCGAGAGTTCGAAAGAGGTGATGGTAGAGAGAGAGAGACAGAGAGAGAGGGGGGTGGGTTGGAAGAGAAAGAGAGAGAGAGAGAATAGAAAAAGATAGACAGTATAGGAGAACAGAGAAATAAACAGAGAGAGAGAGAGAGAGAGAGAGAGGGAGGGGAGAGAAAGAAAGGAGTAGGAAGTAAAAGGGACAAGCAGAATCAATTTTCTCAGGAAGGAAGAAAGAGTCTGAGGGGATATTAGCTTCGTTGCTTCTCCGAGTCCTAATTGTGTAAGTACACTCAGAAAGAGGGAAAGATATATATATATATATAGATAGATAGATAGATAGATAGATAGATAGATAGATAGATAAATAGATAGATAGATAGATAGATAGATAGATAGATAGATAGATAGACAGACAGACAGACAGATAGATAGAGAAAGAGAGTGAGAGAGAGAGAAGGGCACCCTCATCATCTAAAGAGATAGATAGACACGTATACTACGTGTACATGTGTGTACAAAGAAACAGAGACGGTCTTCCTGAATAGGAAGATTGCGTGTGAAAGAGAGAGAAAGAGAGAGAGAGAGAGAGAGAGAGAGAGAGAGAGAGAGAGAGAGAGAGAGAGAGAGAGAGAGAGAGAGAGAGAGAGAGAGGAGAGAGAGAGAGAGAGAGAGAGAGAGAGAGAGAGAGAGAGAGAGAGAGAGAGAGAGAGAGAGAGAGAGAGAGAGAGAGAGAGAGAGAGAGAGAGAGAGAGAGAGAGAGAGAGAGAGAGAGAGAGAGAGAGAGATGGTCGATCGATAGGCAATCTCAATGAAATTTACACCTCGAGGAGGCACGCGTAATAGGAGGGCTCGACCAATCCACCTTCACCCTTCCACTCCTTCTCTAACATTCTCACCCTCCAGAAACTCCCACAGGATTTCCATCGAAAAGCAATTCGTTTCCTGTCAACGAACCCGTTGCCACGACGGTTTCGTTGGATATAGATATAAAAACGATCGAAAGAAAGAGAGAACAGTAGAAAAAAGAGACGAAGTAGAAAACGGTAATAGCCTCTTTATTATCGTATCCGAGTGATTAATGCTGTAGGTTCGTTCTTTGATCTTGTGATCGCACGATAACTAAAATGTATCGGTGAAAGGGGTGGAGTTGGGTTGGGTTGGGGAGTTGGGAGGGTGGGGGCGGTTGGAGGTGGGGTGGTTAGGATACAGTGGAACAGGTAATGTCGATTGTACAATAAAAATTATTGCTATATCGTTTATAATTCGGTAATCAATCCCGGCGCAATATCGTTCCGTTTAAAATTAACGAGGATATTATATCGTTATGCGATCGAACACTGTTTTCTTTCTTAAAGTTTAAAGGACTTTTTTTTTTCTTTTCATTTCTTTTCTTTTTTCTTTTTTTTTTTTTTTTTTTTTTTTTTTTAACGTCGATCAGTATCTTATTCTTCTAGATTTAACGTTTAGTAGTGTGTTAACAAAAAAAAAGAAAAAAAAAATCAGATATAATGGTCATTGGTTTCGGATTAAATTTGGAGATGGACGGAACGATTGAGTAAAGCCTATTATAAAGCGAAAGGGGTCAAGGAATTATTAATGCAGAATACTCACGTTATCCAGAGGTAACCTTGATAATCTGCTTGCAGCTGTATGAAGTCGATTGGCAGAGTTGCCAATGTTGGATACATTCCCGGATAAGATATTTCCAGGCGATTTAACAG